GAGGGGCAGAGGGAGGGGGGGACACAGAATCCGAAGCAGGCTCCAGGATCCGAGGTGTCAGCACAGAGCCCGACGCGGGGCTCAAACTCACAAACCACGAGATCATGACCTGAGCCGAGGTCGGACGCTAACCAACTGAGCCACTCAGGCACCCCTATCATTAACTGTTTGAATCACCTTTAATCAAAGCACTTCATCGTTCTGGGAAATCAGTTTTATCATTTTTCAAATAGGAAAAAATCCTACCAAAAAAAATTCATAATCTGATGCCCACAATCTTTATCCCTTTAATCTAGCTTTCTAATGCTATGTGAACATAAGATGCAAATGGAACCATTTGTAAAATACAACTTCATCAACAGCATCTGCTCATAAATTTTTTTTGCCTTTTTAAATATACACAGAAAATAAAGGTAAGAGCACATTAGCATACTTCTTTAGACCCTGTGACTAATTCACCCAAAAAAGGTCTGTAAACATTAATTAATCATGAACTAATAAGCACAACAGATCTTGATGATTTGACTCCAAGATGCTAAAAGTGATCAACTTTGGCTAAATTACTTAACTCTGAGTCTTGATATAATGTAACAGCCAAACATAACAATTTTACGGAGTACACAGAACTCCATCCTCTATTAGCCCGCTTCCTCCTCCTGGGGGAGATCCTAACCTCGAAGAGGATGAAGAAAGCAGTGTGCCTGTAGCGGTTCTGCTGATGATGTGGGGACTATCACATTCTAGGACATACCGCTTTTTATTTTCATAAGCACTTCTCTCGCAACCTTTTCACCCTGGCCCCTATTTCACAATAATATCCCACGGGCCTTGCCATTTTACCAAATCTCTACAGAAAAACAGAATTGAGAATATTTATCAGATTGTGAGGACTAAAATATCTTTCCAAAGACAAATTAAAACCTGTCCTTTTTGTTCATGAAGACTTCTCTTGGATCTAAGTTAAACTGTTTGAGTGTCCTTGGGTTATACTTTTATCCCAGAATATGATGGGACAGACTATCCCAAGTACTTCTTACACGGCTGGTTCTCACTATCAGAAGCATTTAGCCAACTCTCCTGAAGAAGCCCTACATCAGACCAGGTACATATGTATATGTGTATGGGTGAGTGTGGAGAGGAGGGAGAGAGACACTGGGTGAGAGCACCGCTTGATTAGGAAAGGCTAGACAGACTATTACCAAAAAACCTTAAGTACTCCCACCTCAAAATCCCGATGGTTATGAATGTCAAACAAACAAGAAAGTCGCAGATGAACGTGGCAAAGGCAAATACTTTGGAAATGGTCAAACACGTTTGGAGCTCGCAACAGAAAATAATACCGTTGCAGTATCTCTAGTGACCAATTTTACCCAATCCAAAAAAACTGACCTCTTTTTCTAAAACTACGAAGCAGGGCATGAAAAGACTGGAAATACCACTTCCGTTCAGTATAGGATGATGACACCTCCCTTTAGCCAGCTACTAGTTTTCATCAAATACACGCATGCTAACACAACCAAAGAATAATTTATTTTGGAATCCTCTTTGGAAACTTCAGGGGACATTAACATTTTCAAAATGGTGAAGTTTCCTTGCCCCAAAAACACTGCTGAAGAAATCGCAGTGTTCCACAGACAGTACCCCTTAATGCCTGGCAAGACATCTGGTTTCGTTGCTCTGGTAAAGACAGAGCTCTGCATGTCACCGTGACTCACCGCCCTCTTCACGGCTGTGCACTGGGGTGCAAGACTCTACCGTCAATCCTGAGAGAAATCTTATCTATTGTTGTGAAAGTGCTCTACTGCTCCATGAATGCCAAGCCTTGAATCACAGCCTGAGCAAGAGGATCTGTCATGAAAAGTCTACTGTTGTGAAAATTGCCAAATTTCAGGAGAGCCAAGACTTTCAATCAAGGGCTTCTCGAGAGGTTTTGTCAAGAAGTGGGAGCAATTATGAAATGCTTTGCTACACATAAACTCACTGGTTTCAGAAGACAAATTTCATAGTCAAAAATTTTAACTGCTGTTAACTAGATAAAATACAAACTCATTTACACAGTCTAACTCTCCAACCTTAAAACTAAAATGTGAAGTCATAATCCTTTCCTTCCCTAACATAGCGTTATGCCAAGATCTTGCCAAAAATGATCTCATTAACTAAAGGCAAAGAAAATGAGGTAACACGAATTTATCTGGAGAGAATTCTTATTTTTTGACACAAGCCTACTTTCATCCGAGAAAAGAATCTAACGGATTCCATCTACTCTCTCACTCTTTAGTGAGACAGGGTTTTAAGTAATTGTTTTCAACAAAAACAAAGTCAAAATTGATTGGATATCAGAGATCACATAAAAGTTGTCAGGCAGGGGCACCTGGGTGGCTCAGTCGGTTGGGCGTCCGACCTCGGCTCAGGTCATGATCTCACTCCTGGTGAGTTCAAGCCCCCCGTCAGGCTCTGTGCTGACAGCTCGGAGCTCAGAGCCTGGAGCCTGCTTCAGATTCTGCCTCTGTCTTTCTGCCCCTCCCCTGCTTGCTCTCTGTACCCCCCCCCCCCCACTGGAAAATATAAACATTAGGAAAAAATTGTTTTTAAGTTGTCAAGTAAAAGATGATGACATAGTTTTGATGTATTATTTAAAATCTAAATAACAGCAGCCCTTTCATTAAAACTTACTATTGAACAGAATTAAGCCTTAGTTTTGTTTCATTTGTTACCACTTGATCTACTCATCATTCTCAAGTAGTGAGCGGTCACTGCTTTTTGCATTTAAAAAAGGGACATAATTCTTATGAAGACTCCTTTTCTTTTCCACGTTAAGAAAAATTTCAGTGCAATTAAAAACTATAAGCAAAATTTTATGTTCATGTATATCATGAACATTTTTAGGGAGAGACCATTTATAGCTTTCATCATATTTTTGGAAGGTATGTAACATAAACACTTACAGAGCCACTAGCTTAAATCTAGTGCTCTGGCTCCATATTATACAGCTCTTCTATTTTCATTTTAAATTCTTTTTACTGGACTTCTTTCCCACAACCAAAATGCCTACTGCTCATCAACCCTGTTCTCAACTCCTACCACTACTTCTGCAACTGTACTTTGACTTGACCTGTTTCTCTATGGTCTTCTTCCCATGCATTCTCTTTTCCCTGTGCTGCCCTGCATTTATTTGCTTCAGTGTAGAACAACTTATGTCTACATTTTTCATCAGTAAAAGCAACAATTTCCCCCCAGATGCAAGAGTGAGCTGAAGTAAAGAGCGCAGGCCCTCCGCCCTCCACTCCAAGACTCAGGCCACTGCTCTCATCCCAGGTATGTGCAACATACAGAAGTGTAAGGCACTGCCATAGTCAACATTCACCAAAATCAAGCACTAATATAAGATTCAAATTTATAAACGAGGAGAATAAACAGTACTCTGACATCCTCAGATGTAAATAAAAAGTCACAAAGACAAATAAAACAAGAAACGAGGAAGGAGAAAATAAACCAGCAATCAATGCAACTACCTGGCTAAAATGATGGAAATGATCACTTATGTTTCTGTTTGGAAGCTGAATTAAAAAGAAATCAGCTTAAACTGGAAGAGAGCCTTCCTGATTGTAAACATTACTAAAACTAGAAAAAAATCTTCACATAAAGTTTGATGGAACGGGTTTTTCTCTCTCTCACTGGAGTATCTTGGGTTTTTCCTTCTCAGAGACGCAGAACTGTACAAAATCTCTTTGTAAGAAATATAAACATATTTTATCACACTTGCCACCCAAAGAAATGAATCCCTTGAAAATCACTGTGAAAGCTCTCCCAAGAGTTTGTGTTTTCCTCTCAAACATACTACACAGATTAAGTGTGTCACTGATTTTCAATAGTCTTTAATCTTCTGAATAAGAGAAGAACCTTTGACTAATCTTAACCATAACTGTATTTATGAACATTCATATTAAAGAATGGTTTTCATGTACTGTAAAACTAGGTAATGGCATCCAAGTTATTATCCAAAGACATTTTCTTCTCAGGCAACGTTCAGAAGTATCAAGCTTACTTTTGATCAATGTACTGCTTTGTAAGGATTTTATCACACCAAATGCCCAATACACTTACTAGCATGATATGAT